GTATATTGTGCCTTCTTTCGCCACAATTTGGCTCGCTATCGCTGCGACGGCGTTTCTCTCCAGATTTATGGGAATGATTCTTTCTTTAATATTGTTTACTTCGGTAATGGTCAGTTTTATTACTGCGATCCGTCCGCCACTTTGATTTTATTCGGTTCTAACTTTATTGATTATTATCGAAGACTTATGTTGTTAGGTGTTAAATTGAGCATAACAATGCAGTAAATACATTAGGGCTTACGAGGACTTAATGGATATTTACTAACACTGTGTGTGATGTCATAAAAGAACATACCATTTAATGTTGTTACATTATTTGTAAAGACAACTACATCTGAACATTTTTTATTTTTTATTTTCCGTGAACAATATTCATTTGTCAACAGTTACAATATTAAAGAAATAGTAATAAACAAATTAAACAAATGAGCCACGATTCCGCACCTTCATAAATTTTGCTATTTCTGTATTTTTTATTAGTTTTGCAAGCTTTGTTCAGTTAAGATGTTTTTGCTTGGTTATAAAAATATGTTATGGGTTCGCCTATAAAATTTCCCGATTGAGCCCGACCCTGTTGTTCAACGGTCGTGTTTTGTTCCATCGGAGCCCTTGTACCCTCTATTCCGTGATATTCAATACCACTGACAATAACAACGGCCTGCGGTTTTATACTTTATTATCGTGTATGTTATTAGCATTGAGCAAAGGAAAAGTGGTAACTACGCCACCGTCGGCTTCCTTCTGTGAGGCAAATATTTTTCTTTTGTTCAAATTATTTTTTCATGTAAAAGGGTAAATGCAAGCTCCAAGCAAAAAAGGTTGTTTGAAAAATGTAATTAGTTCTTCTATTTATTAAATGTTGATTGGTCATAGCTGTAGTTTATGTGCCTGATAATAATACCGCAAAAAACGCAAGATTAAGATTGGGAGATTAAAATAGAATTTTAAACAAAAAAATACTTTATTATTCTATAAGGCTTACATTACGTTTAAGTACCTAAACTAGATCTAGTCTGTTCCTATAGGTACCTATGCTCTTATAGTGCAGTCAAGCGTTTGTGCGAGCTTGTATTCAGTAACTATATGACTGATCTAATGATATTTAAGTGCGGATTCTGTGTGTGTGTATGTTACTTTATGTTTATTTTCTATGTTAGTTATTGTTTCAAGAAAAACATCAACTATATATCAACAAATATTTTTGCGTGCGTTTTTGCGAAAACAATAAACTAAATTGGACCAGTATTTACTCGTTGTCTGAATTTAGTTTCGCCGACCGTAGTAAATATAGGACTAACAACCCATCACTTTTGTTTTCTAACAACAAATTTAATAATTTGTGAGCTGCCATAATATTGCCTTTCAGAATACCTCGACGGAGTTAATTCTAGTTAGTACCTATACTATAGCTAGTAAAATTGAGATTGCTCAGAAATGTCAAGTCTCAAGAAAGGGGCGCTATCTCTCGACGGGGCCCTTCGGGACGTGCCCTGGGTACACTGACATCTTTCATTATCACGGCACAAGCGTAGACACTGTTATGTAATCTAAGAAAGGGGACGTTTGAACCAGCACCGTATAATTAACAACACGTAGATTAGGTTAATGTAAACTTCGTTACATAAAATAGGTTTAAAAAAACGAGAGTGGGAGAAGGTCAGGAAAGTTAATCAATTTCTAGTTTGTAATTGGTGCTGTCAGTTTTTTGCAATTACAATAGAATAAAGGCTCAGCTAGGGGCAGGAATGGTATCTACTCCGCAGCCACGTTTGTCTTGGGTTATTAGTAGACTTCATTGGAATAACGTCTTTTGTAGATACCTGCATAAGATCGCAGTGAAAAGACGTTATTGTTAATATTGTGTTTCTCTAACTGAGTAAGATTGCAGGGCATTCTACTAAGTAGAGAATTGGGTTCCAACTAGCAAAGTGAGGATGGCTGCAGAGGTATATATTTCTTCCATATTCCTGCCTGAACTCCACTTTCACCTTACATCAGACTACGCCTCGTATAAAGAAAACATATAAAATGTAATTTATTCTAATTATGTGACAATAATATATGAGTAATGTTGTATTCCTTGGGGAAGACAGTGGAATTGAATTCCGGGTAGCGATGTGAGAGTGGCTGATTCTGCTGGATCAGCTATTATGATACCAATTACTCTTTAAAATAGAGAGACTGGAGTCGCTTGTAAAAACATTAAATATTTTTGCCCTGTGTTATTGAAGACGACTCTGAATGTATTCACCTAGAAACACATTCAATTCTATAAAAAAATGGCGGTGGCATTACGCAAATGCCGCAGAAGTGAAAACTAAAATCACAAAAAAACAAAAAACAGAGCAAAATAAAAACCTCATCTCAAAAAATGCCCAAAATGCCTAAAGATTGCATTAGACCAAGCTATCTGCTACTAACAAAGTTAGGTAAAATTAAAATACATGTACGTACTTTCAGAGGTGTCATATCAAATAATGCTAAACGCGGCAAGAAGTTTTTACTTCAAAAATACAGACGTATGCCATTGTATATTTGCTTTTCTTTTGTGAGAATAGCTGGTTAATTACCGAAAGCTTCTATGCTGAAACTTAAGTGTATAACCACATAAAGTAACTCAGATGTTTACTTTTCGCGCTTCTCAACACTTCCTAAAGATACATTGGGGAAACATACAGTCTAATGGATAAATACTGAGGGTCCTGAATAACTGTTTGCAGTGTCGCATTTAGTTTCTCGTGCGACATTTAAGTGATGGGTATCTCCACTTCGCCAAAATTCAAGGAATGCTTTTTACGCTTTCTCGAAACAACGGTTGAAACGGAGCTTTTATCGATGTTCAATCAATCAAAACCTATGAATTTGCATTTAGAAATTATATGAAACATATTAAATTATTAAAGTTATTGTTTTTAATGTTAAACAAAATATTTCGTAGTATTCGCAATCTGAGAATTACCATAATGACTTACTTATTAATGGGCATAATTAAGGAATACCATAATGACTTTATTATGGGCATAATTAAGTAGTAACAACATGAAGCGTTACGTGCTTGTTAAATTTCGCATTTGTAATATTACTCTCTATCTCTATGCATTCTTTTCGGAACTATATGGAACTCACTACCCGAAACAATCTGAAAGACTCGCACTCTGAGCTTGTTCAGTAATTAAGTAAGAGATTATTTCTTTTCTGTAACTTTGAATCTAACCTCTCTCTATAGCATTTATTGATATTTATTTGTTTTAACTTTACCACCTTTTTTACACCTTCTTCTTATTGTTCTGATTTATTTGCAGAATTAACGCCCATTCCCGTTTCATATGTATAAGGTGTTCCTATCAATGTATAAATAAAACAAACAGTATTTTTACTAGAAAGGAAAGTAAAATGAGATAAAAAAAATACAAAAGATGTAGATGTAAACTTTAATTTATCTTATTTGATAACAAAGTGCGTTATCGGCTTAGTCGTTGTGTCAAATCTTTTAAATAATAATAATAATTTTTCCATGTTATTTGACAAATTTTAAACCCTCATGTAAAAAAATATCACAATTAGACACGACAAAATGTTTCAGGGGTATATTGCTTTCTTTGGTAGCTGCAAATTCAAGTCATATTATAACTAATTCTCCAATTAGTTATAATATTATTTGAACAACATAAAGGTCATTAGCTCCGAATAACATTGAGATGTTATTCTGACGACCTTTCTGACGGCTTCAGGGGCTGTTCACGTGCATAATGACGTCACACCAATAGAATAATGCTCACTTTCGCATGATCAGCTCCATGCAACTTCCACATGACCGATCTAGTATAATAAACTTAGAGAGTTAATCTACAGGGGTCAGTACTGGGTTAAGCTCAGGGACACCAGGGACAGAAATTGAGTAAGGTTTGACGTATCTTGACAGGTTCTTCGGGCCCAATTGATTGCGCACACCTTTTGTAGGAACTGGGATAAGAGAGACGAATTTGAAATCTTTTATTGCTCATATTATCACTAAAAAAGCTCAGTATAGATTTCGATTCGTTGTTTGAGAAATAGGTTATTTATCAGAAAAGGTATTAACAATAGACCGATTTTAAGCAAAATAAATCTTGCCTATAGTTTAAAAGTTGTAGCTTTACCAATGCAAGGTCACAAAAGTTAAAAAGTGTCACAACAAGGTAGGCTTAAAAAATATATTTTCAAAAAATATAAATCTCCGTTCAACGCATTCGCTTATATGTAGTCATTGTATGTTTTTAATAATAATATTATACTGAGCAAGTTTTTTCTTGAATACCTTAAATGAGTTCACAAAAATTGTGTGTGCAGTAGTTAATGCGAAATACCAAACTATTTTATTAAATAAGGGCTTGATTTAATAATAAATTCTAGACAGCTTAAAACGATTAGGTTTTTAATTAGAATCTACGTTCAACTAGGTACAACTTGACCAACTGTCAGACTGTCACATGTCAGCAAAATAGTATGTAATCTAAAATCTTATCAAGTAAACATATTTTCTTTTGAATCTCGAGCTCGCTTTAACATATTTGCCACGAAGATTGAAATCTTTGATTTACCGTATAAATATAATACTTCTATTTATTTTTATTTCAGTTTTGCCGATAGCATTATTATCTTTCAAGGTCTATGAATCTTTGAAGTCTGAAGTAAAAAAAGGTTCTACACTTTTAAAAACAATCAATTGCAAGTGGGCTACCTGCAATTGATTGTTTCTAAAAGTGTAGAACTTTGGATTAAAAAATTATTAGTTTTCAGTTGCTAGTATCGTGTGGCCTATGTAAGAGGAGGCAGTCACTTAATACAACCCACTCGACTAGCAATGTGATGAAAGAAGGAATGAAATGTATGATTGTCGTTTAAGTACAGCTGCCAACTGGTCTTGCACAAACTTTGCAACTATTTTGTTTAAGTAATTTTAAGGGAGTCTCCTAAAACCCTAAAAAGACAATAAAGCACTTATTTATCTATCTTTTCAGTGTCATCAGCCCAACGCGAGCTCGGCAAGGGTCTGCCGTCGAACGCATCTTCGACCGCCCCGCCGGCCGGGTCGGTGGAGAACGCCATCAGGTCGGGCCCGGCGGCTATCGACCAGGCCAGGCCCACGCCCCGCACCGGACCTTACTTCGACCTGGTGGCGTCCAAGAACGTCACCGCACTACTCGGCAAGACGGCTTACTTGAATTGCCGCGTCAAGAACTTGGGAAACAAAACAGTGAGTATTTTGACATTTTCTTTCACTATTGGGTTGGGCTTCCTGAATCTTCGACTGTCATAATATGCATAGGGGCTGTTTTACTTGATTAGATTTTATATTTAGGGTACCAAAAGAAGTTGCAGGAATCCAAATAAGGACTAAGGAGGATGACATAATATTGGTTTGTCCGGTGTGCTGTCCAGAAAGTCCCTTGACTTTTGAGAAAGCTGGCGCGGTGCGTTATCTTCATAAAATTAAATAATTTTCAGTTAGACATAATTTTGATATAGCTCGTAAAAAAACGTGGAGGGAAATGAAAAATTTGTAATGCTGTGTTTTTTGTAAGAAATAGTCATAGTTTTAATTGCCATCAAAGTCATCCATTGGCCCGTAGTCAAAAAGGTAAAGGTAGTATGTTATGTTATAATTTTACAAACAAAAACCATCCGCTTTTAGATAGAGCCTGTTCATAAAAATTATATTAGCAAGGCAATATTCCAAATATTGGAAAAGCTGAAAGTACAATACACTTGAAATATTATGTTTTCTTAAAAATTAGTTATTATCCACTAGACAATTTATCTGACTTCTCTTTTGCATTAAAAATCTTTAGTGCAACCTAATGTTAATAAAATTATATCACTGACTTAACCAAATTACAAAAATAAAAAATACGTGTGGCACTCAGGGACTGCCGCGGTAAAGCTATTGCATAGCATTTTATATCAACTTATGCAATTATAATTATTTATTTATAATATTGATGCAGTATTTTTTTTTCTTTGATATATATTCTAGTTACACTTTTTGAGCGTGGTGACCGATAAGAAAACATTTTTCTTTTTTTTATTGAATAAATGAGAAGTTTATATTGTTTAAAATATTTTTATAATCTTACATGTGAGCTTCGTACAGTCGTACCATATACATGCACGTTTAGGTTCAACTAGTCGCGGGCTCGAATTCACTCGTGGACGCGGCCAAAAAGTACGCTGTCTCACCCAGCATTGTGTCTAAAAGAGATAGAATCATCAATCAATTATGAGCAGTAAGCAGCTAGTCTACACGCATACGTCTAGTCGCACGCACACAAACACCGTGCCGAAGTCTGCCGAACTTTACGTTACAGAATTTCTTGATACGGTCGCCGCGCTAAAAACCCGCGATAGAAGCTATGCAATAGCTTAAAACCGATTCCACAAAAAATATTTTAATCAACTACTTAAGTAGTGATTTTTTATTAATTAAGATTTTTCATCGCGTATCGCAGCAGAAGGCGTTCTGATCGATCTACTCTCTTTAATTCTAAAGATTGATTTAGGGCATGTCCTATTTATCGACGATAAGCATCGAGCTTCAGGTCTTGTTTTATAATACGCGACAGAGTCCTAGCGGGAATCTTCATTTCTCGTGATAAGATATTTTGCTTCCTAGTGAGGTTTCGCCGAATTCGGGCTTTAACAGCATTAACAGCCTTTGTAGTTCTAACAGAATGCGGTTGCCCCGATCTTTCCTGGTCTTCGACAGACTAAATGTTGTTGTATCTGTTGAGAGTACCATATACGAACATACGGCTGACATCAAGCTTTTGAAGTGTCTGGAATATGACCGATGGCTCCATACCCACCTTGTGCAAGGCGATCACTGCAATCCTATTTTCTCAACACCCCATTCCATATTGTAATTTGATAATGAATACGAAAAAATATGTGAAATGGCGTAAAATCGAAAGAGTTTTTAAAATAATATGCGTTTTCCAAATTCAAAATAATTAAAAAGTTGAAAAAAAGAAAAGTTTTTATGTAACAGTATTTATGGCCAGACTAGTTATATCATAAGTTTGTGGCTACCCTTAAGATAACAGAATTTAATCAAATAACACTTCTCAAAGCGGAGTTGATAACAATATTAGACCCTGTTAAATTTTCTGCGAAGCAATTCAATTTATTCGGCGGCCTCTGAAACATAATCAAACATTTGTTTTTAGACGTTTCCAGCAATTTCACAATCAATTTAGTGAAGCTCTAAATCTACAAGAAAATGTAATCACGCTTAGTACAATCAAGTAATAGATCTAAACTATTTTTAAGTCTATTTGTTTTCTTTTTTATTTAACAGCTTTCCGAATGTCAATATCTTGAGAAATACTACGTTTTCATTAACCCATACATTGGAAGAATCGCCACGTAATAATAATAATAAATTCTTTATTTATTTCTTCACATAAGTAGAAAAATTTACAATAAAGTGCTTAATTACAACACCTCACCACTTAATGTGAAGACTGGTGCTTGCAATAGGATAAACCTGTTCTACAAGACACCAGGCCTCCACTCCCAAAACTACATGAACAGAGCAAGCCACTCCTGTACCATTTATGTGATTAATGTGTTAATTAATATGAGAAGTGCTAAAGAAACAACTTAAACAAAAATAAAAATGTAATTGTATGTGTGTGTGTGTGTGTGTGTGTGAGTGTGTGTGAGCGTATGCGCGCATGTGTGTGTTTTTGTGTGTGTATGTATTTATATATAACGGTTCCCATAAATGCTTGACTTATTGCCATTGTATTACTAATTTGCAATTTTACCTGATCCATTCCAATCTCCTGAACTTGAATTAATTAATTTCATCATCGTCATTAACTTAGAGGCATCATAAGGATATTTAAACCTATTTCATTTAACTCCAATAAATAATTACAGATCTGTTGCTTTATCTGTCTGCTTGTATACTGCCTTAGATTAAGTTTAGCATGTAACACGTTGTAGACTGAAGGTGCCACAAAGTCATATGATCTCGAGGCAAACTTGGTTTTAAAAGGAGGAATATTACACTTTGCCGCTCTTGTCTTACAGACATTAGTTATTGTACTTACATTATTATGCAATCTGCGTATAACCTGATAAATAAACAATTTTGGAACACTCAAGACTTTAGTTTTTTCATACAATGAGGCTGTTGGGTGTCGAATCGGTAGTGACATTAAAACCTTCAATACAGCTCTTTGAGCTCTTTCCAATTTAATTAAATGTACTTGTGCAGCGCCTCCCCAAGCACAAATACAGTAGCAGATTAAAGATTCTCCCAAAGATTTATAAACTCTAATCAACAAAGGCAGGTTAGTTACCGTGCGAAGGTTCTTAAAAACATACATTAATTTTCTGATACGCCCAGAGATTAGTGAAATATGAGCGTCCCATTTTAAGTGTTCATCTATCATGACTCCAAGATACTTGAATGATTTAACGCGATCTAACTTTGCACAGTTACAGTCCGATAGAATATCTGATAGAAGATTACAGGGATAGGTGTGAATAGCTAATGAGAAAGACTTCTTAGGACTGGAGGCCTTATTTATGGAAAAGCAGATGTATTTAGTTTTATTCACATTAAGGGATAACAAACTATTCTCAAGCCAGGCTGTAACCTTAGATAACCCTTTTTCTGCAGTAATTTTAACTTCATTCCAAGATGAACCATAAAATACGAGAGCAGTATCATCAGCAAACATAAATAACTCGCCTTTTTTCAGATGGATTTTACAAAGGTCGTTAATGTAAGCTAAAAATAACGTTGGACCAAGAGTACTACCCTGTGGTACACCATAATTACAGGAAGCAGATTCACTAAAATGGCCACCCAATCTAACAGTCTGGCTTCTATTTTGAAGATAGTCTTTGAACCAATTCAGTGCAACGCCCCTTATACCTAAATTTTCTAATCGACACAGCAGGATAGGGATTGAGACCGTATCGAACGCTTTTTGTAGATCCAAAAACACAACAATACACTTCCTCTTATTATCCAGATGCTTATATATATTGGAGGTAAGATCCAAAACTGCGTCTTCTGTAGAAGTTTTTGCTCTAAAGCCATACTGATTTCCCGCAAATAAATTTTTAGATTCTAAATACTTGTTGAGTCGCTTATTTACTAACTTTTCAATTATTTTCGATAAGGTTGAAAGCAATGATATTGGTCTATAATTAGAAGGAACATCTGTAGCGCCCGTTTTATATATAGGAGTCACGATGGCTTTTTTACAGTTTTTTGGAAATACTCCACTTGAGAAGCTAATGTTACACAGATGAGTAACCGGTTCTATAAGAGATTCTTTAAGATATTTGAAATAGTCATTCGAGATATTATCCCAACCTGTAGCACATCTCGACTTCATGGTCGATATTATTGAATTAACTTCTTGGTTGTCTGTCAAAAAAAGGGACATAGTATTCAATAGATTATTATTATTTTTGTTTTTTGCTGCTAAATCGAATTCATTGGTGATAAGTTTATTAAGAGTTAAGTTTGCCAAGTTATTTCCTACAGATGTGAAAAAGTTGTTAACGTCGTTAAGCGATTCTTTTGGATTATCCTTAATTCTAAGCAAGTCATATGATGCACAGCTTTTCTTATTTAAATTACCAACTTCTTTAATAATACGCCAGGTTTCTTTCATGTCTTTAGAGTTTTTTTGTAGTTCTGATTGATAATATTCTTTTTTAATAGTTTTAATTATATTATTACACCAGTTGCGATACGTAACATATAGGATTTTTAAACGCTCACTGAAATTATTTTTCAAATGTTTATGTATTTTATCTCGTTTGCGTAATGATCTTATTACGCCCGGGGTGATCCACGGCTTAAGTGGAGTTTTTCGTCGGGGTACATGAGTGGATATTGAATAGGTTTTTAGAGAATATTGCATACGTTCGTTAAATAAATTAGCACACCAGTTGACATCACTACTTTGATAGTATTCTCCCCAGTCACACTCCTTAAGGTATACTGATATAGCTTGGTAATCTACTTTAGTTTTTAAATAATGTTTTGGTTGTTTTTCAGATGGATTTACCTTTTTAGAATAGAATAAAATAGGTGAGTGATCTGTTATATTTGTTTGCTCGAAGACAACCGTTTGCCACATTGACTGACATCTTGCCATGAAGTGATCGAGACAGGAGTTTGACACTGGACGAGTAGCACTATTGATACCCTGTATCAGACCATGTAAAGCTATTACTTCTAGATATTCATTAGTATCAGTTGTGTTAAGATTTAGCGTATCGACGTTTATATCTCCTGTCAGTATTATATTTGAAGTCTTAATTGATGCCAATAATACATTCAACGAGTCCAAAAATGTTTATGAAACCATAATTACCAAATATTTAATTGAATATGTTTTCATTTCAAGTTTCGATTGTGCGTATGATGTCACTCCAAAGAAACATTGAACACGATAGAAAAGATACCTGCGTAGTATTAAGTAAATATTGACTCGGAATTAACAATTAAATACGGTGTCCCTTATTACCATCGCTTTTGAAATTTTTCGATATTTCAGCAGGATAGTAAATACCATAATCATGGAATAACTAAATTTCAGTGGGTCTTTTTAGAATTCTAAAAGAAAACTAAGTTGATATTATCAGTATTATATTGGTCTTGTCAATTATATAACTCTACAAAGTAAATGAAAAAATGTCTTCCCATGTTTGACCAAGTCACCCACACTAAGTGGGTTAGGTCCAATAATATTGATTTAAGTTTGCTTTCTAACACCTACTCTGAATTGCAAGATTGAAACAATTTCCAATTTGAATATAGAATTCTGGTCACGATTTTCAATGTCGTTTGAGTGCGGGCATTAAGCAAACCCAATTCTGGTTTCACGATGTATTAAAACGTTACGAACATAAACCTTGCAGTTACAGCCAAATTGCTGGCATAAATATCTTAATAGGCCAGAACACACCTCGCAAACGGCGAACGTTACGGAAGATCTTCCATTTTGTGGCATTACTTACTGAACGCTGAATTGCGTACAGTCAGATCGCCGAATGTGAGTTTTTAACTTCCTTCAAGCATTGTCGTAAACGTTAAATAGAGCATTTGTATTTTCGTGTGGAAAAAATAATGTTTTACCAAAATTTTCAGTCTATTGCTTTATGTAAACAAAACTATAGCTGTTGTAAAAGTTACGAAAAAAAACTAATTTTATCTGGCAAGAAATTCAGAATTCTAATATAAAACCTAATAAAACTAAAAATTTGACGCATCATAATTGGAGTCAACAATGAAAAAAGTTTCATTTACGTAGACTAAGACAGGATCGAATTCAGAAACTCTCGCTCCGCACAATGAGTGCAATAGGCTCGCAAATACTCACGTACGCTCGGCCGACGCACTGAAAAGTACTCATACTTTAACTCAGTATACGTAGGTACTAGATACCGCGTCGAGTACACGAGCTAACGAGTCCACACTCCAGTCGTTGTCCAATTTACATAGGCTGTGTACGCCGTACCACAAACTCCCATGCTTAAAATGAAACGTCACAATAGCACAATGCAAGTTTAAGCTCTATTGTGAACTCAACTTTATAAATAAAAGTCTCATTAGGCCGTGATGCCACATCTTCCACATAAATAACAAGTCTGCCTAACGAGATATCTCTGTTTCTTTCACACGGGCGCTTTGGAAACGAGAGAGCAGCGCCGGCTTAAAATGTTTTGGACCGTAAATGGGACGGGAGATTATTCTGTCATAATGGGATTATCCAACTATTAGACTCCACGTTTATATTTTCACGGTTCGACTTCAATAATAGTAGGATCACTCATGAAATGTTTTCAGCGAACTTGAAAAGCTTAAATTTATATTATTACTAGCTGACCCGGCGAACTTCGTACCGCCATAAAAATAGGGGCAGGTGGTAGAAGAGAAAATTAAGGGTTGTATGTATTTTCTAATACCACATTATAAAAAAATAAATATTGTCCATAAACATTTTAGGGGTTTGTAACGTAGTGTTCTATCAATTTACTGGGGTAACATTTCTCCTAACCCATATGAGAACACTACCCAATAGTTTGAATTTTGGCGCGAAGGCGCATTGTAGGTTTCAGAACACTACGTTACAGATGGACAACCATTATCACTTAAGGATAAGAAAAATAGATAGTAGCCGATTCTCAGACCCACGGAATATGCATATAAAATTTCATAAAAATCGGTCAGGCCGTTTCGGAGGACTATGGTAACTAACATTGTGACACGAGAATTTTATATATAAGATGCGATTTTTAACTTAGAAAGGAAGTAGCTACTTATTTGTGTCTCATTTACGATGTAGAAGTAGTAGTAGTAGTAGTAGTGGAATGCAAAGAATTTAGCGTGAGTTGCAGAAACTTTAACTTTAAATGATCAGTTAAAATACCGGTTAGGTAAATATAGGTTGCACCATTTAACGACAGTCACAATGAGGTCATACATATTTGGACAGTGACATTGTTCTGTCCAAGATCAGTCCAGACCAGTTAAAGTTAGAGTAAAACTAGCTGTCGAAGATTTTGGAGTGATTATTAACATTTAGGGGGATGACAAATAGATATTGTCCGATTTTCAGACCTACTGAATGTGCATAACAAATTTAACGAAAATCGGTCGAGCCGTTTCGGAGTAGCTCAGTTACGCACACCGTGACACGAGAATTTTATATATTAGATTAATGCTCATGAAAAATCCCTTTTCCGTATTTTGAAGCATTGCCATTGCATCGACCGGATATCCAATAGTAGTAAAATCAAAATGATATAAAAAGATGTATAAACCTACCCTATCACTTCCAACGTCGCCTCCGCTCCACTCATTCGGTGTGTGTAGCTTAATTTGTATCTTTGTTGTTAGTTAACGGACTTTATTATTATCGTTTGAAGGCTTTCTCGTTGTAATATATGAGAATTACTTCAGTTTCGGTAATGGGTTGAATATTCCATTATCTAAGTATTTATAAATTTGATTTATAACTACCAATGACGTCTTTACACCTCCTTTACACCAAGTTATAATATATGTATATAACAAATTTTATACAATGTCTTAATTTTTTGTTCACACTTATAAACATTTATAAAACAAATAGTATACAATACTTGCATCAAATTTGTTGGATAAACAATATTTGTGAAGTAAATAAGCGATGTATTCTTATATTTTTTTATATTAGATTCAACTTTGATTGGCGACCTCCTTAGCCGAGTGGTTTGTACGCCGGGTTTCATGGTGTCGCCGACTCGAGAGGTCCCGGGTTCGAATCCCGGTGGGGGCAGATGTTTGTGTGATGAATACGAGCATTTGTACTCCAGTCATGGATGTTTAATATATATTTCTATATAAATATACTTATATATGTTCAGTATATGTATTCTATCCGTTACCCTAGTATCCCATAACACAAGCCTTATAGTGCTTAGCTTGGGGCTAGGCTAATTGGTGTGAGTGTTGGAAAAAAAAAACTTTAATAGCTAGGGAACTGGTGGAAAGGACATCGACGAAATCGGCCCTAGCATGCCCAAAAGAATGTCCTTCACTATTATTTTTCTATTATTTTTTTGACTTATTAGCAATTAATCATAGTAAACGGACAATCTGTTTAAAAAAATTAAAAATATAAGTTCTGTTACAAGATACTACAGTCTGTTCATCCAAGTTGTCCTATTTGGTAAACATACTTGGCACTCCTTTTAGTTGTGCCAAGATTGTTTACCTTAATAAATGCAATATAGGCGACCATAGGTATTTATCAACATAAAAATAGAACTAGGTACCTTAGTTAATAATACTTATCACTAGTATTTATATCATATTTATAAAAAGATTATTTCAGAAATTATGTAAAGATAGTTTATACTCCCGTCCCATGTAATATCTGTTTATTTTTATGAAAATCATAGTGATAACCAGGTGCATACCTAATTACCGATAGTAAAATATAGAAACAAGTAAATGGAAAGACTTTGAACATTTCATTTGAAAAGAAATCTATTATTACTACAGGTAGGTATAGGTATCATAGGTGCCAACTGCCAACACTCATAAATCAATATGAATATATTATATTTATTATTTTTATTATTAATTGCATTTAATGTTCATTTAATACATATCATTTAAGTGCTTACATAGAGGTAAATACTGGTAAACACTAAATCTATTCGGAATATATAAAGTGTACATCTTTTACGATTAAGTATAATAATTATAACCTCAAAATCTAATACATTCTGTAGTAGGCCACGTTTCCTCAAGTTGTCCGTATCTCAACAAATGCCTAATTAGAGTTTATGGATGATTCCGAACATAACTAGCATTTTCTCATTGCTGGGCGTTCTAGGGCATTCGATGTATGGGGAACGAGCAATGTTCTTTACATATATGATTTCATAGTCGTTGATACCAAGACGTCGTGTAGTCTGCACCTATGTTAACCCGGAAAAAATAAGTAGCGAACCTAGGCAGCTATAATTTGTTTTCCTAAATAATTTCAAAATTATAAAGAAAAACATGTCTTTCAACAATTAAATTATCGTTTCTGTCATCAATTAGGTATATTTCATAAAACATATTTTTCAGACAGTGAAATTAAAACTGGCAGAAGTCAGGATGCTGTGCGTTTTTATAAAAATAATTATTAAACTATCATAACAGTTGGTACTATATCATTTCATCGTCTTTTCAAAAAATATTTTTATGTTTTATAGAGTTTCTGTAAATGTAAGAAGAAGGTGGCAGACATCTACAACTATTATTTTGTTTGGAGCGTCTAACGTGTTTCGGAGCAAAGTTATTCTCTTTCTCTCCGTGGCCTTCATTTCCGGTTCTAAACCACTTAATCTTTCTAGTTTTCTTTTCCATGCGAACAAATATGATATACACAAATAATATGAGTGTGTGTATATTTGTACCCCCTTGCAGCTGTCCTCAGGTAACAAAATATTTCTGCCTTCGAAAAGACAGTGTTGATTTTTCTGCCTTCTTCATTGTTATGCTTCTCATAAAATTAAGACTATCGACAGAAGCGATAATATCTTTTATATTACTTATTTTTTTTTTAATTGAAGGCTCTTATTTGATATTGCAACAATTAATGAATGACAGAAATTATTTAAAATGATTATTTTGCGTAGTTCCCTTATATTATATACCTCTGCCAGACGATGAAATCATATAAAAATTACTGCTACCAGCTCTTTAGCTATAACTAACTCTGTGATACACCGCACAATTTACATAGTTATATAGATATTTTGTTAGTACATTATAGTGCAGCGGTGCAGTGATTTATTTATCTTTGATCCAACATCTTAAATTAAAATTTGGCTTAGCTTCTTAAAATATCTCCTGTAGATTATTCTGTTTTTATTTAAAGCATATAACTGCTAGACCAAATAAAAAATCCCGTCTGATGCTTGAACCGAGAGGATAATTATTCTAGTAATTTTTTTTTAATATCTCATGTGTAAAAGAAATAATCAATATATAATAATCGTCTCGTTTGTCATTATTAATGAATCCAAAAAGAGTTCACTGTATTCGATTTAGATATATGAGACAATTTCATGCGCTCAATGAAATCTACTAAATATAATTACAGTAGTCTTATCGCCGATTTCTTAAAGAAACTTTATATTGAAAAAATACTTTAACGTTAAATACTCAGCGGTGCATCTAAAGGCTGATTAAACTTTTTCTGTTGCATTTTTATCAAAGGAACTGTTAACTCAACTATCGTTTTACCTTGCAAAGGAGCGGAGAGAGAAATCCGTGCAGTCGTTACTTCGAATGGGGGTTGTAGTGGCTTGACATCGAGAATGCTAATGCCAGGAGTCACTGCAGCAGATGTGCAATTAGAGCCGCCATTAACTATCATTAGCTTTCTGCAGTCTAAATGAGGCTGCTTCTTTTATATTTGTTGATTAACAAGAAAATCGTATTAACAAAGTTCCATGTAAATTAATCCATACTGGTAATGTTATAAAGTTAAAGAGTTTTTTTTGTTTGATTGGAGTTCTAGTACGATTAGTTTTTTTTTTGTGTTGGATAGGGCATCTTTCGAGAAAAGCCATATAATATAATGTTACAACTAATAGCAGCGGAACACCAATGAAAAATGTTTCAAAATATTGATCATTAATTTTTTTATGACATTTTTTCTCAAATTAATGCGTGTGAAACTACACGGTCGATAATGCTAAATTTGTTTAATATAAAACCTTTGATGAGTGTAATGACCGGTATTCTTAGCCCCTCGTTTCCACCAAGAAACAAGTCATATTTATACTAGTTTTAAACTAAACTGTAGAATATTTGTTGTGGCTGCTTAAAACATTATTTTGTTTACTCTGCATACACAACTAGTATCTTACAAGAATATATCACTTATTTACTTCACATATATTGTTTATCCAACAAATCTGATGCAAGTATTGTATACTATATGATTTATAAATGTTTATAATTGTGAAAAAAAATTAAGACATTGTATAAAATTTGTTATATACATATATTATAACTTGGTGTAAAAGAGGTGTAAAGACGTCATTGGTAGTTATAAATCAAATTTATAAACACTTAGACAACGGAATATTCAACCCATTGCCGAAACTGAAGTAATTCTCGTATATTAAACAACGAGAATGCCTTCAAACGATAATAATAAAGTCCGTTAACTAACTACAAAGGTACAAATTAAGCTACACACACCGAATAAGTGGAGCGGAAGCGACGTTGGAAATGATAGGGTAGGTTTATACATCTTTTTATATCATTTTAATTTTACTTCTATTGGATATCCGGTCGGTGCAATGGTAGTGCTTCAAAATACGGAAAAGGGATTTTATATGAGCATTAATCTAATATATAAAATTCTCGTGTCACGGTGTGCATAATTGAACTACTCCGAAACGGCTCGATCGATTTTCGTGAAATTTTATATGCATATTCAGTAGGTCTGAGAATTGGACAATATCTATTTTTCATCCCCCTTAATGTTAAACCCTTAATTTTCTTTTTTTTTGTTTTTATTTCTTTATGATACATCATACAAAAATACATACAACTCTTAATTTTCACCCTTCTACCACCAACCCCTATTTTTTTATGGCGGTACAAAGTTCGCTGGGACAGCTAGTACATATTAAAAGATTTTGGAGTGATTACAGTTATTAATAATTTCTGTATACTTGAGAGATAATATGGTACGGAACCGGATAATATCATGCACGACTCCGACTTAAACTTGTCTGGTTTTTATAATGCCTTTAATAATATAGCCAATACTTCTAAAACACTGAAGACATCCGCCATGATGACCACTTCCAATTGCAAATGAGTTTGCAGTCATTACCAACTCTTAGTTCAGATAAACAGTACCTATGTCACCCACACAACACTAAGGCTTGTATGACAGAATGACAACTAAGTGTTGATCTTTACTTGAGTATAGTTAGAAAGGTATGTATAGCACATAGCGACATCCCTTTCTAACTGTACTCAATATATAAGAAATGCCTTGCTCTGACCCATTTCCCGCGCCTATGGAAGGAAGCCACAGTGATCCTTCTAAGAAAACCAGGAAAAGAAGATTACCAGCAGTCCAAATCGTATAGGATTATTACCGCTGTTAGGATTTTTTTTTAGAGAAAATGCTCATAAGGCGCTTAAAGTGGTACATTCTCCGATTATTGCACTGCTATCGTTGGACATAGAGGAGGCCTTCGATAATGCGTGGTGGCCACAGATTCTCTGCCAACTAAAAGAAAGAAGTTGCCCAATAAATCTGCGAAGGCTGGTTGAAAGCTACTTACACGAGAGGATGGTAACGGTAAGATACACAGGGGAAGAATATAAAAAGAAAACAAATAAAGGCTGTGTACAGGGGTCCATCGGAAGGCCATCTTTTGGAATTTGATCTTGAACCCCCTGCTAAACGAACTTACCGTTGCCAACATATATAACCAAGCCTTCGCAGATGATATTGTTCTGGTTGTTGATGGAGACAGCCCCAGGGAAGTAAAGAATAAAGCTAGTGTGGCCCTCTCCATGGTAAAAAAATGAGGAGCGTCAAATAAATTAAACTTTGCAGCACATAAAACGAAGCTGATAAACGAAATTAATTAAATTTCTTATTTAATTTATTTCTTATATTTCTTATTCACAGCCAGAATGTGTTTTTTTAATAATGTTACGCTCCAAAACCCGCTGGCGCTGCAGTTATGACCACAGTCTTAAAGCAACCATTTCCCCTGTAGGTACTATTTCCACCAGCCACTAACGAGGTTGGCGTCATTAAGTTCCTCCGCTGTCGTATTGGAAGGGTCTGCTATATTATTTTACTGTGCGTTTTAATAAAACGTATAAAAATATCATCAATACACTTCACTTTTTCGCATAGTCAGTCATGACATTGGATATACTGTGATATGAAGTGCTGTCAATTTTCCTTAAGTGTTAAGTACATGGTCATAACTTTTTTTATAGTCTTCCAAGGTTTTTTTTTTATTTTGTCGTATAATTTACTAGTATTTTTATATTTTATGTTCGAAGTAAGATCGTAAAATGTGAAGTAATGTGTAGGAAAATTATTCAGGCCAAACATATGTCTTCGGCATGGAGCATAAAGAATAATAAATGAAAAGTAATTTTCATAATATTATAAATGAATAATTAGGTGCTTTAAAAATAATAATTTAGTAATACTTTAAAAATTAATTAATATGATAACCTACTAGGAAGTAAGTGCTGTACCGCTTTTGATGAACTTTGGTACCATGATAAATGATACTTCAGAGAAGGACGTAGACTTCTGTAAGTTATATACACAAGGAGATACCTATATATATATATATAAATTCGTTGCGTAGTATCTTTTTATTTTCATTGAGGCATTTCGCTTGCCCACTCATTCAGTATTCTTTCTGTGGGTTCTGGTGACCTGTGGCACAGGTTTTTAATAACATATATTAGGCACGAGCCTTCACAAAATTAGGTTTACTATAAAATAATTATAATATAACGAACAACACTCGGCAACTCATAACTGTTTCACAATGACAAAAGATTATAATAAATATAAATATATAAATATTATTATTATAATCTTTTGTCAAATTATTTATTTTTATTACAAAGCAAAAACACTGACCACATAAGTGTTACCTCACTAGTTTTAGGTAAAAGTTTAGTCATCACAAGCTATAGTGTTTGTTTAAGTTATGTACCTACCTTTTTTGTCTTGTTCCAGATCAACATGCAAGTGTCATGGGTGAGACACAGGGACATTCATTTGCTGACAGTCGGCCGGTACACATACACGAGTGATCAGCGCTTTCGTGCTATACACTTGCCACACTCAGAAGACTGGACTTTACAGGTAAGTTTTACTATTGTGGGTTACCTACAATGCCAAGAGTTGCCTTGCAGCTCAAGAAAGGCTAGAAAGAATTCGACACGGCCATCAGAGCCGCGGTAGCATAATGGTCAGTGCATTCGCCCGGATAGCGAAGCGTGCGGGTTCGAGTCCCGTCTGCTGCCTGGTCCGTGTGGAATTCTTTCTTGGATTTTTTTCTTTGGATTTAAACATCGAGTAGTTACATGCTTAAAAAAATGGGTGCGTGTACTTATGTAGGCGCGTGAGAAGTTATCCTTCTTTGGCATCGTTTAAAATTAGTTTTAATTGCATGCAAATAATTAATTACAATAAATTAATAAAAAGTCTGGAAAAGGACACAGTCAATAAAGTTCAGTTTTAATTTGAAAAAAAAAAAACAAAATATTCAATTAAAATCGCTACTGAATATAATTTATTAGAACATATGTGATTTGCACTTGTATGAAACTCAAACACGTATTCCGAATATACAAACTAGAAACATGTGGATAAATATTATAAATATGAATACCTATAACTGTTACTTTATTACAAAAAATAAAGATGTGGTTTTTGGTTCTACTACACCAATGTTCAAGAGATGGCGCTGTAGTCTCCTGAATCGCGCTTTGGTTCCGTTGTTCCAGATTAATAAATACTTTTTATTACTTTATTACAAAAAATAAAGATGTGGTTTATGGTTCTACTACACCAATGGTCAAGAGATGGCGCTGTAGTCTCCTTAATCGCGCTTTGGTTCCATTGTTCCAGATTAATAAATACTTTTGATAGGCCTTCACAATGCAGTCGTTAGCACCCACAAAATAGAGATTCTATTTCTATTTTGTTGGTAGATTTTCTTAATGTGCGGTAAACACAAAAGTAACAGCATGAAGTTGGTCGCTAGAGCGACCAACTTCATGCTGTTAATTTTTTGTGTTACAGTGATGCGAGCCCATCTTAAAATTTCACTCTCATCATTTTTTCATAACGCGCCTAAAGAAGTATAACTTCAAAAATTAAAAATAATAACTTTTATTATGTCAAAAAGGTGGCAAAGAGGCGTGTAACCCGCCTGGTGATAAGCGGCCACTATATTCTATAGACGCTTGCGATACCAAAAATATTACTCGCACCGTTGCCTTTCTTGAACGCCATGGAGCCCTGGAACATCAACCATCACACCATCCAAAGCAAAGCTAGTGTTGTTTTACTGTAATCTTCTGTAAGGTGAAAGTTACTTCTTCAGACGGGCGCTCCAGTTCGAGAGGAAAATCCGCTATGTCCTACCTCTCTTATAGTAGTCTATTTTAAAAGCTTTCTTGCAATGTATGTGTGTAGGAGTCAAATCTTGCAACTGAATTCAAAGTAACTAACTATCCTTAACCGATCCAGATGACTTTTACATACACGTTTAGTTTGCATGAAATGTATGGTTAGCTAGATGACGTCATCTTTATAAATTCAAATTTGCAGATGGCCCATAACGACGGATTTATAATTTTTTGGTACACTCTCATGATCAAAAAAGTGGTTTCTGAGAAGAATGCTAATAAAATTATTTATTCGTTACATTATCATTGAAATAAGAGCTTGTTTTAAAATACACACATCAAAAGTGTCTAGGGATCAACATATATTTTTGCAATAACTTTTCTCCTGATTGATATTAATTAAAATTTTCTTTAAGGATTCATCAAATAAAGTGTTTTCGTTTGTCACAGTAACGATAAACCAAGTCACCTTTGCATTAATAAAGAAATTTGCCATTTTCCTAATAAAGGGATTTTTGACATTTGAACCACTAACACAAAAGTTCGAAAAAAAGACTGAAATAACAGTTTTCTCTAAAATTTTATTGGGTAACTTAAACAATTAATAATCCGTATTTCTACCGCGAACACTAACAACACAAGAACATCGGTTTGGCATACTCAAAATGAGTTCATCCAAATCACGCTGTGGAATGGCCGCCCATGTTCGTTGCAACAACAAAAAAAGGTCTTCTTGCGACTGGATACCCTCCATATTCGGCAGAGCTCTTCTCTGTAGCATATCCCATGCATGCTCAATCGGGTTCAAGTCTGGCGACTGAGCAGGCCAGGGCAGGACATTGATGTTAGCTGCGGCGAGAGTCTGTCTTACAACTCTTGCGGTGTGCGGTCGTGCATTATCATGCATTAACTGAAATAAGGGACCGATTTGCACTTGTAGAGGAACGATGACGTCTGATACAATCGTCTCAGCATAAATTTGAGCGTTGAGGTTGCCTCTGATCCAAATCAACTCAGTTCTTCCGCCGATCCAAATACCCGCCCATACCATGATGGTTCCACCACTATAAGGATGGACTTCCTGGCAGGATTTTAATCGCTGTTGGCGTCCAAGAGTTCTCCAGTGTCGTATACGTCTTGTATCCGGTCTCATACCAAAACGAGACTCATCAGAAAAGCACACGAAACGCCATTGTTCTTCTGCCCAATTTCTGTGTTCAAGAGCCCATTGATATCGAATCCTACGATTGTGCATTGCTATAGGTGGTACCCGTAGCGGTCTTCGGGAATGAAGGTTCACTTCATGCAAGCGGTTTCTGACTGTTTGGTCGCTAATTAAGTTCCCTGAAGAGTGATGAAGCCTCACGGCTAACATCATGGCGGTTATTGTCGGAGCTCTTCGAGTTAAGATTTGAATGTATCGGTCTTGTCTCCGTGTGGTGCAGCGATACCGTCCTCCATGGCGCTCAGCCACGGTACCAGTGCTTCGGTATCGTGTCCAAAGTCGACTGATAACACTCTGACTTGTATTCAGAGCTAAAGCCACAGTACGTTGCCGGGAACCAGCTTCTATCATTCCCACGGCTCTGAGCATTTCTTCCCTGCTTAAATGACGTCGCCGCTCCATAATAACGTTGGTTTTAATCAGTAGTAGGGAAACAGTAGCACTAATAATGTCTTCAATGCGTTGTATGTTTTTATAGGGAAAATATTGACAGCTGATTTTCATCTTTTACTCGAATTTGATTCACAGTTCCTGATTCAAATTATGAAATGCACCAAAAAGGATCCATATAAATTTATAAAATCATAAATTTATTACAAAGCCACATCTCAATCTCAAGAAATCCGCATAAAAATGCTTGATCCCTAGACACTTTTGATGTGTGTATGTTTGAATTTCGAAAAGAGAAAGAAACGCCGGAGGGCATTAAGAGCACCATAGTAAGACGGACCATAGGTGGAGCCCAAAATGATGCCACATGCTTGTAAACATGCTGTCGAAGGGGCATTACTTTGTACTCTTTGACGTTAAATTAGAGCCAGTGACGTTACCTGCCTGTAGGATGCCATATTTGCAAGAGAAACGTTTCCGCGGCTTATTTGAAAACATAGTTTGTATCACGCTTTTTTACTGATATACTCGTATGAATTCATTTTCAAAGTCTTGTCAAATAACGTGCGTCAACTCACATCAGAGCAGAGGAACTTTAGTACAAGTTTTATTAATATTGCCCATCGTGGTAATTCATATGTTGTTACTGTTTAATACACCTTCTTTTGGAGTATTTCAGTATAATTTTATTTAAATAAATAATGCCTAAATAGTAATTTTGTAATTAAATACGTTTGATGAAAAATCAGTGTTGGTATAATTAAGCATATCGATAGCCGGAGGATTCGGAATACTGTCGATAATTAATGTGAATATAGGTCAAAGGGTTGACAGTTGGCGTAAATCTCACTCTAATTTTGATGGCTTTTGTGATTGTGAGAACCTCCAACCTCAAACTTTTCTCATAAAATAATAGATGAGCATTCAAGGATTTATTCATTCCAAGATTGCAGAGTGAATCATTAATATTTCACAATCCCTCTGGTGCGTAAATTTTTAATGCTTCATTAAATCACGTGTCACATCATTATTTTATTTAAATCTAAATGCATCAATTTTAATCTCAAATGTTATTAAAGCAACCATTTATTGACATCAGATGATTAATAGTATTATTTCAGACCCTCTCTTACTTTTTTTAATAATTTATTCTGCCTTTCATTTAATCATAAATTTAATTTTTTTACAAGTTTTCTTTTTATATTTAAGTAATATTTAGTTTTATGAGAAATACTATATATTATTCTGCCATTTTTCATGTGTTTACTTAATATAAATCATATTATAATGGTATAAAGGGTTTTCTTCTCGTTGCCCTGTGCTGAAGAATGATAGGAAATATCAAATATCATATTTCAAAATTGTTATCAAATTACTACCTACAACAACGCGGAAACATTAGAAATTATTAATTTGACTTGAACGCTTTATGGCAAACTTGGGCTACGTATTGGGATCGGTCGATAGTATGAGAACTTACAACGGCTAAGTAATAAACCTAAAGTTCTTTGAATTATTAGATTCTTTAATTTTTTTAACTTGCAAAACCCTTATACTTTGCAACAATAATTAATATAAATAATTGCATCGCTCTAGGGTTTTTTTAGTTAAATATTTTCTGTTGTATATTGCTTGCTTTTAACAGATTTATTCTTTTTACAGTTGAATAGATATTTTGAAGTGTAGGTAGAGTACTCGTAATCACTGGTACTACAGGCTTGCCGCTTCACAGTATGCGCAGGTGACTAGGGTTGCCAACACTATATAATTTAGTATCCTACTATAATAGGGGATCAAATATTATATTTCTAAAATATGTATATGGTAGGGGAAACTACTATATTTTGATTAAAGAAGCCTTTTGCCACTAAAAGCTTACTTCAAATTAAAAACTGAATTATTAGTATAGAGTAGCAAAAATATACTCATTTAAAAAAAAGTAATCATTTTAGCCACATACTATTTTTTCGAAAGCTTCGAAAATACTATATTTGATAGAAATAAAGTTGATTACCCTACATGTGACACGTCTGCACTCGCCTGCGGCTATCTCAATAATCACTTAAACAGGAGAGTATTACCATGCCTTCGTATCCTATGCATAGACTACGCAT